CGTGTTTGGAGCATGGGCAGTGGTGGAGATGGGCCCACTGGGGGAACACTGGGACACAGCAAGGACAGCCAATCCACTCCACACTCAGTGCAGGACAACTCAGAGGAGACTGGTTGGGAATGCAGAATTGCAGGGGGTACGGTTTGATGAAAAAACTCAGGCCCAGATCAGAGTTTCTACACAATACAGGTGTACCAAGCCTCTGGAGAGCTGGAAGTACGAATAAAGTCAACCATTAAACCCTGAGCTGCACAAAAAGCCTTCCCTAGGGAATCAGCAGCAAAGCAGCAATTTAGTTCAACAACATAGCTCAAGTACTGGTTCCCACAGGAAATTCCCCCATTTTAGAAGTAAGCAAGGGACAAAGTTAGTTCTGGCCCAGGCACACCACCAGTGCCTCGGGCCCGCCAGGGGGCCTGAGGTATGGATCTGGGGACTAGACCCCCTCCCACATCCAGGCACACCACCAGCACCTCAGGCCCCACCCAGGACCTGTGCATGTAATCAGGGACTGGAACCCTCACCCACAACCAGGCACACCGCCAGCATAAGGAGTATGCCAAAAACATCACCTCCATGTGGTTGGCCCACCACAGCCACCACAGTAACCACAGCCACCATGAAAGTGGCTAGACATCACAACCAGCACACAGATGGTCCACCAGCCACTGGAGTGCATTGACACAAAAAGAGTCACCAGCAGAGACCAAAGAAAGGAAGAGGATGTCTCTCTCCACAATGCCCATTCCAGAGTGACAGAAGAAGCATCTGTTCTATGATAATATTGGGGGACCTGAACACACCTCTCAGCATTGGACAGATCACCTAGGCAAGAAATCAACAGAGTAAGCATTACTCTTTCAGAGGGAGAGAAGAAATCTAGGGTTATCAGTGGTGGGAGGGGGAGGAAGAGGGGGATAGGGAGAGATTGGACAAGGGGAATAAAGAATAAGTACAATTTATAACAATATATATACTAGTAATATTGATTTGATCAACATATGTCAACATTGAATCCCCAAAATATATATAATCAATTATGATTCAATAAAAAATTTAATTTAAATTAAAAATAAAAAGTAAAACTAAAAGACTCCCAAAGAAAATATCAGTCAATATATGGACATGACCTCAAAGTTAGAATTATGTAACAAAGATTGATAGGCTTATATATACTCAAAAATATATACTTTAAAGTATATATTTATGTTTGCATTTATGTCTAAAAATCTCTTAAAAATATAAATTATGAATTGTGAATATATTTGTAATATGTATGACAAAGGGTTGATATTGTCAACTTTGAAAAGCATTTTTACAAATCAGTGGGAAATACTGAAGACCCCAATATAAAATGAGACAAGGTTATAAATACACAATTCACAAAAATAAAGAAATGCAATGGCCACTAAGCATAAAAAGAATGTTCAACTTCACCAGTAACCAAAGAAAGAACATTAAAACCACACTGATATATCATTTTGGACCTATCATATCGGCAAAAATAGGTGCTCACTTGCTGAAGGATAATGCATTGATACACACACACACAAAGTCTTTAAATTGTACACATGGTGCTGTGGTTTGAAGGTTTGTGTCCCCTCCAAAATTCACCTTGAAACTTAATCCCTAATTTAACAGTATTAAGAGGTATGGCCTTCAGGAGGTGACTGAGTTATGAGGGCTATGCCCTTGTGAATGGGATTAGGTGCCCTCATAAAAGAGTTTACTGGTTGGAATTTGCCTCTTTTTTGCCCTTTCTGCCCCTTCCACCCTGTGAGGACACAGCCTTCCTCCCCTCTAGAAGATGCAGCACCAAGAAGCCATCTTGGAAGCAGAGACTGGGTTCTCACCAGACACCTAACCTGCTGGCACCTTGATCTTGGACGGCCCAGCCACCAGAACAGTGAGAAATAAGTTTCTGTTCTTTATGAATTACCCAGTCTAAATTATTCTATTATTGCAGCACAAACGGACTAAGATACCTGCCAACTGATCCAGAAATTTCACTTTGGAGAATTTATTCTTAAGAAAATATGAGGAAAGATTTATGTACAAAGGAAGTCATCACTGCACTGTTTAGGGAAGATAAATTATTTGTCCAAGAGAGATTGTCTAAGAAATGTATTTGTTGACTAGAATACTAGGAAGTCCCTGAAAATTAAATTATAGAATATATATTCACAGGGTTTATATACATATACATGTATATTTATACACACTACATATGTACATACACGTATTTATACACACACTATATATATATATAAACATATAAATGTTAACAGCATGGCATTATAGGACATTTTTTCCTTTGTATTTTGTGTGCATATGTGTGGTTTAATTTTCTGGGTTCAGCTTATGTTACTTTTGTAATTAAAGACCAGCAGAATAATTATCTTAAGAAAACATTTCAGGCTTTACAAAAAAGAGTGAGAAAATATCTAAGCCTGCTGTTTAGAATGGACTTCAAATGGAGCAAGAGCTCTCTGCTGACTGGGAAGAATCACAAGTCCTCTCCAAGGAAGACAAACTCGCTCCCAGGTTTTGGAGAAACTGACATACTGCACTTGGGGAAAGGAAGTGCACTTCCAGCAGATGAAGACAGTCTGGGAGGCCGAGGCTGAGATGGTGAGCATCACAGTCTGGAGCAGCCTGACTGACGGGGGTGGAGGTGGCTGGAAAGAAGTTTTAAAGCAGACAGGAGGGATGGGGAAGACCTACTTTTCTCTCACTCCCTCATGCATTCCTCAGCTCAGGAGCTCTCCCTATCCTGGGCTCTTCCTACTCTTCCTAAAGGGTCCCCACCCTAGTAAAGGGGGTCAACATTCACAAGCTGTGGAAGCTGGAACCTGGGGCCTTGGTGCTCCTCTTCCTGCATCTGCCAACATCCAGGCGGTGATAACCGATTCTATGTCCAAACTGCCACTCAAATCCACCCACCTCTCCCAATTCCCACTGTCACTAACCTAGTCCACCTCCTCTCATCTCAACCATTAC